GGGGGGACGGACGAGGGGTCGGAGACGATCTGGTTGAGCATGGTCTCCTTGAGGGCATTGCGCTCGGCCTCAGGGACGCGGATCCAATAGCGGGTGACCTGGCGGAAGAGGAGGGTGGCGGACATCTGGCGGATCTGCGCTTGCGTGAAAAAGGGGGCCAGGTCAATGAAAAAAAAAAAAGAGAGGGACGGGCAGGTGGGCGGCTGGGGCCGAGAGCACGAGGAAGGCCGCACCACCGGGTTCGGCGAGTTGAACATCAGATGGCAGAGGGCCGGCACGCTCTGCGGGGACTTCAGGTAGTTCTTGTTCAGGTAGTCGGTGGCATTCTTGACGGTCTCGGTGTTGTTCTCCAGCAGCAGGGAGATGTGCTTCTCGAGATCTTCGAGAGTCTTGGTTGTGGTGCGCGTGGCGGGGTTATTGTTTTTTTTTTCCCGCACCGGCCACGACGTGCACACACGGAGGCGCGGAGGCGTGGGAGCGCGGGGGCGGGGGTGGTGTCAGTGGGAGGGGAGACACGAGGGGAGGGGGGCCATGGGGAACAGTACCTGCGCCGTGTTCGGGTCCATCTTGGATGAGGGAGGGGTCTGAAGCAGATCAGAGGGGGGATGCGCGACCAAGGGGCGGAGGGCAGGGGGGGGGGGGGGGGGGGGGGAGGAGGGGAGGGCGGCCCGCGCGTGCGAGGGCCCGGCAAGGCCACCGGCGCATGAAGGTGGCTCCTGCTCGGCGGGGGCTGGCCGGATGCGAGCCGGGGCGGCTCCGCCGGCACCCCCCGGCATCCGCCCCACCCCCCCCCCCGCCCAGACCTCCTGGTCCAGCCGGGGGACGGCCCCGGCCAGCTGGGACAGTCGCCAGGGGGGGGGGGGGGGCGGCGCACGGCCCTCGCATGCGCGCCGAGCATTCCCCGCGGCCGAGGGCGCGCACGCGCGCCGCCCCGAGCGCCTCCGGAGGCCGGGACCTTCCAATGGTCAAGCGCGACGCACGCGTGGGGCCCTCCCCGGTTCTTGGTGGGCGTGGGGCGGGCCGGTGGCTCGGCACACCAGGCCGCACGCGCATGTCACTGGGACAGTAGCATGTGACCATGAAATGTAACCGCGTCGGTTAAGTCGGGCCGGTGATGCCCACATCCGTCGGCTCGTCGGCCTGGGAGGGGGGGGGGGGCTCGGGCAAGGGCGAAAGCAGCCGAGGGACGGCCCCGGCGGTGGGCGCCGAGGGAAGAAGAGGACGAGGCTGCCTCGCCGCGGGCGCACCGGGACGCGGGCCTCCGGCGAGGGGGAGCTGGACACGGCTTGTCGAGCGCGGCTCTCGACCCCTCGCGCGACTCGGGCCTCGGGAGAGCTCCGGAGGGGGGGGGGGCCCGCGTCCTTTCGGGATGCGGTGATGCCTCTCAGGGGGCATTGGCTGGGGAAGATGGCTGCGTTCCCGCCCTCGGCCCTCCTCCTCCGCCCAACCGCCGCCAGGCGCGACCGGCGCGGAAGGGGCAGGAGGTGGTCCGGCTCAACACGCGGCTCCCCTGTCCCCCCCCCCTCTCTGGCGGGGGGCCAATATGGCGCGCGCGCGCGCGCGCGTGCGTCCGCTCCCGGCGCCCGCGGTCGCCCGCCAGGCGCCGCCCTTCCCCCCTGGCGCGGTGGCCACGCGCGAGCCCCCTCTTTTCGTGCCAGGCGCCCGGGGGGGGGGGGGGGGGGCGGCGGCCAGAAGGCGTGTCGGCCAGGGTATGGCGTGTCCATGCGCGCGCGCGCGTGCGCCAGCGGAGAGGCGGCCCAGAAACCGGTAGCCCCTTTTCGGGGGTGCCCGGAGGGCAGGGCCTGCGGGGGATGTGGCTTGCCCGGAAGGCCGAGCGAGGCTCAGAGCAGCCGGCTGGGGGTGGGGGGGGGGGCAGCCCGAGCGCGGTCCGGGTCGGATTGCGGGACCCCCCTGCCAGGGCGAGACTCCGGTCCGGGGGAGGGGGGCGGGGGCGGGGCCGCCTTGCCGGCGCACAGCGTGTCCTGGCGGCGGGATCCGGCGGCGACAGAGACATCCACACACATGGGGGGCTGGGTGCGCGGGGCAGCAGCGCGGCAGGAAGTCCGTATACTCTCTTTGGCCGAAAAAAACACGCCACGGGGGCCCTTCGGGCCAGCCCTTCTCCGGCAGACGACCCTGCTGGTCCTGCCGGCCCGCGCCTTCAACCGGCCGGGTGGCCGGCCGCCCGCCATGTTCACCGCCATCGGAGGCGCCCTGGGGGTCGGGGGGGGGGGGGGCGGGCGGCCCCAAGGCAGGGCCCTCATCCGGGGGGGCGCCGGAGGAGCCCGGTTTCGCAATTAAAAAGGGCCCGCCGGCCGGTCCATGTGCGCCGGGGATCTCCGGGTGGGCCGGACGCGGGCGCGGAGGGGCCTCCCGCGCGTATGTCTGGCGTGCGAGGGGGCACGTGTGTGTGGGCGGGCCCCCCCCCGCCTCCCCCCAGCGGTGCCCGGCGGTTGTGCGTTGTGCGCCAGTCCCGCCGCCGGCCCCTGTGTGCCGCGCGCCGGGCAGCAGCAGGGCCGGTGAGGAGCCCTGCGGGAGGGGGGGGGGGGATGGTCTCACCGGTTGCCGTCCGGCGCTGGCATGCTCCGTTTCTGCCGGGGGGGGGGGGCCCGTGTTCAAGGCGGGAACAGGGAAATTAATAAACCACCCAATATACCTTGATCGTCCGGTGGCGTGGTCGAGACCAAGACCGCGGGAGGGGCGGCCCGGGCACATGGGCAGCCGCCCCCCGGCCGGCTCCGGCCTCCCGCCGCTGGCGGGGGCCTGATCGCGCGGCCGGACCGGCGACGGGCGCGGGGGGGGGGTGCCCTGCCGGCTTGCTCGCGGTCAGACGGCCGGGCAGCCGGCTGGGGCGCGTGGGGCGGGGCGGGGGGCATTTTCTGGAATGCGGGCGCCTGCTTCTGAGTTGGACCGTTTGTTTGGGCCGCACACCGACCGCATTTCGTGTGGGAGCGCGGGCGCGACGGGGGGGCGGGCACCGCGGCGCCCGCCGGGCCGGTGCGCGATCATCATGGGGTGCGCGGGGCCGTCGTTGTACTTTGCAATGCACATGGGCTAATGCGCCAGCGGCGGCGGCGTCTGGCTGTGATGAGCCGGCGTCTGGCTGTGATGAGCCGGCGTCGGGCCCTCGGCCGCTGGCATTCTCTAGGCGCCGGGAAAACCCCGCGCGACACCGGGGCGCCGGCCGAAGCGCCTGCCGGGGGTTGAAGCCGGTGCCGGGCCGGGCCGGGCCGGGCGGCGGGCGGCGGGCGGCGGGCGGGAGCGCGAACGGGCGCGTCGGCACGCGGGCCGTTGCCTCGGCGACTTGGGGCGAGAGGGTGTCCCCGGGTGTGACGTCCAAGGGGGCGGGCGGGCGGGCGGGCGGG